TTCTTTGATTATTTTGTTTTCTTTTTTATTACTACTTTTTTAATCCTCACTTGAGGATATTTTTTCCATTGCTTTTCAGAGAGAGTGGAAGAGAGAGAGAGAAACATCAATGTGAGAAAGACACATTGATTAGTTGCCTCCCACACTCACATGACCAGGGCCAGGATCAAGCCCACAACCGAAGTATGTGCCCTTGTCCAGAATCAAACCCAGGACCCTTCAGTCCTTGGGCTGACGCCCTAACAACTGAGCCAAATGGACTAGGGCTGTTTTATTTTTTATTAAGGCAAAATAGCAATTTGTATAGCTGAGCAACTTTGTTTTTATAATTTTCTTGAGTTCATTTTGCTACCATTCTTTATTTGGTCCGATCATGGTATAATATAGGAACAGGATACTTTTCTATGAGAATTTTCTCACCTGTAAAATAGGGCTTGATATGAGGATCAGATGAGAAAATATGAATCCCACCTTTGTGTACAAACATCTTGTATTTGTAAACACAGAGTTGAACCAGGAATAGGGTGGATTGATGTTTTACTCAGGCTGTATGTTTTAGTTCAGTATTTTAAATCAGGGTGTAATTTTAGGATTGCTGCTCCAGTTGGAACCCATAGATTTCATTTTGGATAATTTTGTTGGAGAGTATTGAGCAGTTTTAGCTGTATTAAATTCCTCTAATGTGCTTCAAAGGAACCCCTCAGGCTAGTTTAGTCAACCTTTGTGAGCCCAATTTACTTTCCTTTGCATTTCTTTGAACTGCCATAGATGATTTATTCTTCTACCAAGAATCATAGTCAGGAAATTTGCAGGAAAGAGATGCACCAGGAGTAACATACTTCAAGGTGTTTCTAAAGCACCCTCTCACTACAGAGAGGACTGGAATGCAGCACAAAGTGGCAATGATGGTCACCAATAACTCACTCCCTTTCTCAAAAAAAATTTCCCATTTTGTCTACTCCATCACCACTCTCCTGAACTTAAACCTGACATCCTCTTGAAAGTCCTTTATCTCTTTTATCAAGTCTGTTGTAAAGTGCATTTTCCTGTGTACAGCCTCTGATTGGTTATGCCTTATCCATTTTCCCTGTTACCTTTTCATTCTAGTGGATTTCACTTCCCGTCTATCTTCTTTACTTATTTAGGTCACCTTTTCCCTCTAATCCATTTGGTACAAAGTGACCAGATTTGTTTAACTACAATATCACTTGTTTTGCTGCTTTCCTGACAAAGATCATACAGTTCTGCCCCATTACTATTAAGATCAAATTCCGTTTGGGGCACTGAAGGTGGCCCATTTTACCTATCCTGCTTAATCTCCCACTGCTCTGAGACCATCTCCTTCACTATGTGGGGAACTGGTTCTCCGTACATACCATGTCTTGGGCTTTTCTCCTTGCTTTTGTAAAAGTTGTGGACCATGCTGGTGCTTTCACTGCCTCACAGTCTATCCAAATCTCTCTGGATTTCTTCAGACCAGTTCCCCAAGCCTGTGTTAGCTTCTCATTTCCTTTTTTAAAAAAGTTTCTGGATATAATTCCTCTTTCTCCAATAGATTATAAGTCCTTTTAACATAGGGTCTCAACCTGTTATACTTTTGTATTTGTGCTTGGCAGTTTTGGGGTGGCTATTCAGTAAACATTGAGTTAGTGAGATTATTAAATAAACTCACCTGAGTGTTAAAATAATGGAAATTTTTGTTTTCAAAGATGGGTTTAACTTTTGAGATTTTTTTTCTGTGCCATTTGTCAGATTTGATTGTAATCAGTAGTTTGGTAGTCATTTTTATTCTGTAAACTTGGTAAAATTTTGATTAAATAATTTTGAGAAATTGATTTTCTGTTTAAAAACTCTTTTGTTTCCTAGAACTTTAGAAGTTTCTCAGATGTTTACACAAGTTATCAGTTTGAATATGATTCTAAGAAACTAGTCAAAATGTGAACTTCAGGGTCATGGTCAGTATTTTCCCGAGAACAACAAACTATTGATTCTTCCATCCATGCTTGCCACATAAAAGTATTTGAAAGTCATCATAGGTTTTCTTTTAAGATATTGGAAGTGTGGTCTCTTGAGAATTTGAATCAAGATGAGAAAAGATCCAGTAGTGTGACTATAACTAAAATACTTAACCATTCAAGATCTGCAGGTTTATTAGAGGAAAATTGAAAGGCTGCTATGTAAGATAAAATAAAAAGATTTCATTTTCAATTTGGGAAGATAGGCATAAATAACCTGAATTAAGGATCTCTACTTCAAACTTGGGGGAGGGAGTGGTGTGAAAACAAAAGGAAGCCTGCGAAGTGGTGCCAAAATCATGGTAATATTAAAAAGTTGCTTTTGTTTGAACTCATGGAAGATAACTGTACTTGCTTGCTGTTCCATGTCATTGTGTCGCTATCAGAAGCAGAGTCCCAGGTTGGAAAGACCCAAAGAGCAAATGAATGTAGCATTTTTACATGTTTTAATCAGGGACACTACCCAGATGGAGAGTTAGCTGCAGATATTTGTATGTGTGCTGTTTTTAAGAATGATGCAAGAATTGGTCTAGAACACCAATAATAAAGATGACGATGTTTTCAGATGTCTTTGGAGAAATAGGACCCTCAAGTACTCATGAGTATATTATGATTAGAGAAAAAATAGCAAGCTCATCTTTACTTCCAAACATGTTATAAATCTTAATCAAGTGAAGAGACAAATTTGTTGTTCCTTTGCTTAATTTTAAGCACTTTTTGTTTTGTTTTCCATCATTTCTTACATGTTTATATCAACTTCTGCTTGGTTTTCTCCTATTTCTCAGCATAAATAATACTTTGGATTTTTATACTCTTACATCTTTTATCAAAAACAGTATCTTTATAAAAGACTGCCCTACCTAGTTTGTAAAAGAGCAACTTGTTAACCTTTTAATCACATAAGTCAGGGGTAAGAAGTCCATATTTCTATTTAAAGTATTATTGACAGGGAAAAAAAATCAGTCAAGAGCTACCAGTAGGTTAAAATAAGCTAATTAGCAGATTGCATGGCAAATAGCGGGAAAAGGAGGAAAACCATAGAAGGAGGGGTAAAGTAATCCAGACCTCATGACTGGCTCAAAAGAGGTTTTTGTTTTTGTTTATTTATTTTTTTAGAAGTGGCTAGATGCCTTTATAACGTTGCTGTTATTTTTTGCCAAGCTAGGAAATATAATTTGAGAGAGGGGAACTGTATTATTCCTAATGCCTAAATGTTATTCTTAGAAACCATATTTATTTTATTGTTCTGTGCCCTTCTCCCCTTTTTAAAAAAACTTTTATTGATTTTTTTAGAGAGAGGAGGAAGAGGGAGAGAGAAACATTGATAAGCTGCCTCCTGCCCACCCCCTTCCAAGGATCAAGCCCGCAACTTGGGCATGTGCCCTTACCAGGAATGGAACTGACAGCCTTTTGGTGCATGGGACAGTGCCCAACCAACTGAGCCACACCGGCCAAGGCCCCCTCTCTTCCCTTTTTGAAGTACAGTTCAATCTTTTGACCTAGCTTGGTTCTATTTGGAAGTAAACAAAATAATGACAACAATTTTTTTTAACTTTGAAAGATTTTTCATGACTCCAGAGGTTGCTAAGAATGAACATTTTTAATTTAAATTTTAAATGTAGAGCCTACATTTTCAAGCTATGTTTGCAGATTGGATATATAATTGGAGTCATCTCTTCTTAATTATATGCCCTTTTCCAAAGGCCTTAAACAACAAACCACATGCCTTGTGCCTTTTCTGAGAAGCATAACCTTTTAAAACCTAAAGGGCCCTTCAAATAAGAGCATAGCGAGATACTGTAATTTTAGAATGAGATTCTATTCTACCTTCAAAGCAGAGCACATACCTTCTAGCAATACATTCGAATATTGTCAAAAATCATTTCTATCTAAACAGCTTCATATTCTTAGAGAGTAAGATATCATTCTAAGGCTCACTGACCTATAAGCATTCTTACAGTAAGGGTGCTATGTTAGTTTCATTTTGCTACTCCTTTTAACTAAAATGGTAGAATAATTAATCCACTTTCTAGTTGAGATTCTTTAAAAATAAACTGTTTCAGTGAAGCTTGTCCAGTTTTTAGATGATTGCCAGGTGGTCTTTTCATATCTTCCAAAGATCACAGTGTATTTTCCCATAGTGTACCAGGTGGCTCAGTTTAAGAGGATCGTAGCATATGTCTTGGTGATAGATTTTGGAAGAGTCTGAAAGATGATCTATTCTGACTTTCTCAGATTGAACTTTCAAGCTGTGATACTTTTCTTGAAGTTATTTCTGCACATTAATCAATGAGGAAATTTTCTTAGCAGGCTTATTGTACTTAGCATATGACAGCAAGTGTGTTTTAAAGTTTTACTAAGGAAGCACTGGCATATTCAGATCTAGCATAGTCTGGTGTGTATAGTAAAACTTTTTTGGAATTGAATTATTTTGTTACATACCCTGCTTTGAAGTCAAAGGGAGAATTTTTCATTAAAATTATAAGTCTTTTACTTGTCATATATATATATATATATATATATATATATATTTTAGATAGAAAATATATATATATATTTTAGATAGAAAAGTAAAGGTAAAGAGATATTGAGCGGATGCTGATTTGCTGCAACCTCAGATCTCAGGGCCCATGTCACACCCATTCTCAGTCTAGCAAGTAGTAAAAGACATTGGGAATCCCCTTTTCCCCCTATCCAACCTTGACTATGAAATAAGACTGACAGCAAGGATTTAGCAATTAGAAATACTATGTACTTTGTTTTGGTACCTTTCAACAAAAATCAGTGTGTAAAGTTGAAATTTCCTGACCAGAATTTTGAAGACTATGATGTGATTCCCTGGGCCTTGATTCCAAAGGAGCTCTCTGAATATGGGTTTACTAGTTGGTGGTGAATTTGATAGTCACCAACTATTAGGCCTTTATGTCCAGATATTATCTCAATTTATGGAGTAAGGTCCCTGAGTTCTCCTCTTTCCTTCCACAGGGCAAGCAGGAGGACTTCAAGACGACAGTTCTGGAGGGTATGGAGACGGCCAAGCATCAGGTGAGGGTGGCATTAGATGCTTGCCACTTAGTAGCAAGAGCCGCCAAGTCAGGGATTGATGCTTGCGAGTGTTTTTGGCTGTGGTATCCACATTTTAGCCAGAAGCGCAGGGGACATTTAACCCACAGGACAGAGTAGTGTTAGGAGAGAGAGTAGCCAGAACAAAGGCAAGCAAAACCTTTTGAAGTCCTCAGGCCGTTCTCAGCCCTCTGCTCTTATTGTTTTTAAGGAGATGGCGGCTACTTTTCTCCCCAACAGCTTTTATAGATAGACTTAGGAATTGTGGGACCTTTAAAAAGAAATATAGCTGTATACACACAGAGGAGAATTCATAGGCTGAAAGTCTTAAAAAAAAAAAAAAAAGGACAGAACGGCATTCTCGGACTAGGCAAGAATTATTCAGGCAAGTGACTCTTTTTAGAAATAGAGTTGGGTAAATTTTTTTCAACTAGCATTACATAGTTAATTATTTTGCAGTTTAAACATTTTATTTCTCACATGAAAAAAAAATTATTTAAAAAAAGTCTCGAAATGCTCTATATTTCCAGACCAAACTGAGATTTTTACTTCTAGGAAAAAGTAAAAGGTTAAATTATTTCTAGGGCCCATTTGGTACAGTTCAGGTTTGGTCCAGGAATCCAAAGTAGTATGTCTGGGTTTCATCCTTTGCCTCTTCAAAAAGGTTTTTGTGTTCCAGTGTCAAGGCTGCTTTTACGTTTTGATAGAATTGGATAGGCATTACTTTATTTTTGTAGTTTGTCACTTTTCAGTTGTTACGTCTACTTTAAAATTAATTTTCTATTGTAGTTTGTGTACAGCAGGTCCAGGGAGGGAGTATTTGTATTTTACTCTTGGAGCAAAGATAATTCAGTGTTAATACAGAAATTAGAATTTAGGGGTTCCAGAATGTTAGAAACAGACTTCTTTAAATGCTAGCCCAAGGATTGGCAGTTGATAACCAGTACGCGGTTATCTGAGAAGAGTTAAAATCCTCATTCAGAGTCTAACCTTCAAGAATGTTTTTCTTCAAAGGATGCACAATTGGATCTTCCGTGGAATTGTTGAGAGTCAGGGATAGCCTTTAGAGCTTTGATCTTAAAGAAATATATTGAGTTTTCTTGTTGCCTTTTGTTTTTATGGGAATAAATTTATTCTTTTGCTGAAATAAACAATACATTGCATTGCTGAAAGTAAAAGCAAACTTTCATATAAAACGGTGGTGTTACAGACTTAATGTTAGTAGAACATGAGTTTTAAGTGTTTCCAGGAATGGTGGTGACTATTCTGAACCCTTCAAGATCTCCCTTCAGGTCCTTGTCATGTTCAGAAGCATGTGTTTGTACGATGATCTATCAGCATCAGAAACGTACTTATAAGTGATCAACATTCTTAAGGCCAATTACCCTCATGAGTGTCTTAGGACCAGGATCATATCTTGACTTTTTAAAATCCAAATCAAGTTGGTGTATATATCCTGAATCTTAAAAGTTAGAAGGGAACTTGAGGTCATCTTGTCTAGCTCCCCAGACAAACAGATAGTGTTATATCACCCCTGTTTTATGGATTAGGACCTGAAACAAAGTTAAATGACTTGACTAGGGATACACCAGCAGTGGGAGGAGTGAGAACCCAGAGGTGTTGTTCCTTAAGCATAGATTTTTCATTACACACTCCCTCATAGGATCATTTAAAGTGTGCATTTGCCCTATAAGTAAAACGCCTAAAGCATAAGAAATCTCATGATCCTCCTCTTTTTTTCTTTTCTCTCCTTTCCCTCATTCTTAATTCTGAACCCTTCAAGATCTCCCTTCAGGTCCTTGTCATGTTCAGAAGCATGGTGCATCTATAGTTTACTGATTTTACGTAGTCAATATGTAGATCCTGTCAGGCTTTTGTTTTCAATCTTCAGCTAGAAACCTCGTTATCGTTAATTTATGTACTTTATGGGGGCTAAAGGCAAGTAACTCTCCTGGAGGCCTTCTTTCTTCTCTTGAATTTTTATATCTGTTTCCTTACTCTTAAGATGCTGCCATTGTCATATCAGAATCTGGGTGGGCGGATGAATCTGTGGAATAAGAGACCTATATCTTTACCTCTCCTCCTCCCCTTTTCTGCCTCTATAATTGGTTTATCCAGAAAGGTCTAAATTATTCCCTTAAATAATTTAACTACTTTTGCTATGTTTTCAGAGAAAGTGTTGAGCCATTCAGACCATTAGAAAGGGTAGTTGTGCTTTTAGCATGACTGCATTTTGAAAGGCAACGTTAGATTTTCCTGTGTACAGTGGTGAGAAAGTAACTGAACAGAGGGCAAGATTGGCAAGTACACAACCTTGGGGCTTTTTAAAAATGTAGATAGCATCTTTGAAACAGTCTCAATTTCCAGAATACCAGATTCTGATAAGCACACAATCCAGCTCCAAGTGTAAATTATTTCTGAATTATCTGCACTACTGACAATTGCCTTTTAACAAGGATGTTAATGTCAGTTGTTCTTTAAGGTTTTTCCCTTTAAAGGAGACACTTATGAGTTAGATTATCCAGGGTGGTCTGTTAAAAAGGATGTTTTCATTTAGGTTCTGAACAGTTTAGTTTCCAAATTAATTTTTGTTTCTTTGAAAAAAGGTTAGAGTTTTATCTTGCAGGGTTTTCACCTTGATTTTAATAGTGGCCTTCCCTCCTTGAAATAATAGTATTTATTCCTAAAAACCAAAAGGAAGGAAATAATTACTGAGGTGTTTTTTTTAAAGACCATTTTAGAAAACTGATAAAGTATTTAAGAAGAACTAGGTTTTTTTAGATGTTGTGTAGAAGATCAAATGGAGAAGACTATTCCACAGATACACTAATGTCACAACTTTTGGCTTCTTTAAATTCCTTTTGTTAAACTTCTCATGTTTGATTTAAAGATACTATAGAACTGCCATATGACTTATAGGTATAAATAAAATTTCTTAATTGTTACATATTCTCATGATTCCCAGAGTTAGCCGGCTATATATATTAGAGTGATTTTTTATGATAACACTTGGAATGAGGAGCCAAATGTAATATAACATTTAGTGGGGGTTTTCCTGCATGGTTTTCCTGTCATTGACAGTAGTATTTTGCAGTAGGATTGATGTTCAGTGACCATCAGCTAAACACATAGAAAATAATAGCTACTATTAGAAAAGTACCCCTATTTTTGAGAGTGAGAAAAGTGGAGTTTATAGAGTATTGCTTTTCATGTTAATAGTGTACACTCAGGAAATAAACCAAGAAGTAACCTATTAAGAGATATTTGGTCCAAATACTCAGGATTATTAATATTGTTATGTAGATAATGCTCCTTATAATGTAACATGTTTTTGGTCTTGGTTTTGTTTGTTTAGTTTGTTTATTTGATTTGATGGTAGGGAGACATGAAAGCTGTAGTTTTAGAAAATTTCACATTACTGAAATAACCCATATCCCCTGATAGTCAGCATTTCTTCTTTTCTTTCCTTAATATCATGTTCCATCCTCAGACTGGCTCTTAGTGATTACTTTTTTCATTAGGAATAATTAATTATCCTGACGGGCTTTAATTTTAGGTTGGGATTCATTAAATGTGAGGATTGTTTTGATTTCGTGACTTGAACACAGTGTCGTCCCCTTATTATCTGTTGTGGATAGATAGGTAACTCCCTGTCTCCAAGAGCAGTGTTTCTTAATGTGCAGCCCATCTTAGCATTAGGCATTTTTGCTTGACCTCTTGTTAACCATTATTTTTTCCAGGTAGAGTAGTGTTTGAATGTCTTCGCGGAAACCACCTCAGTAGCTTAGCTCTAATTTTCTGAGTTGCGACTTTACCTGCTGTGTCTTTTTACTCTCCTAAATTTACTAATACCTTTTCCTTTAATTTTGCTTCCATTACCAGTGCTTCCAACTTCTTGTCTTAAATGCCTTAAAATAGTTGAATATGGAAATCTGGTGCCTATTTAGTTGTTTATATATAATTATTTCAATGGTATTGAATTTTGACACTTTAAATTGTGTCTTGATATTTCATAAGCTGGTGGTTAAGTATATTTTTATAAAGTGATCTTAGAAATGCAGGTAAAATATATGCAAATATATTCTAAGGACATCTTATAAAGATGTACTCAACTACCAGCATATGAAAACATCAACTTAATACCCAAAATAACATATATTTTACTTGTATAATGTAAGAGATGTACTACATGTATATGTACTATGTATACTACATGTGTATGTACTATATAGTATATGCAATAACATTTTTTACTTGCAATATGTAGAAAAGGTAAAAATTCCTTGCTTTCTTCTGTCTCCTCATCATAGTCTGCTTAACTTCTCTCTCTGCTTGCCAGCCTTGAGTTATGGGAGCTAATGGATGTTTGCAGCTATGAGATCATGTATTTCATACTGTTTGTTATTAAACCTCAGAGTCCTCTTCATGTTCCTTGTTCTAATCCTCAGAGAGGGCAGGTGATTGTGTTTTCCACTCTGTAGCCCCTTTTTTTTCTGCTAGTGTATTTTCCTTCATTCTGGTTCTTTAGTTTTAAATTTTATTGTACACTATCAATAATACTAATTTTAATTAGCATATTCTCCAACATTATCAAATTATTTTGTCACCGAAAAAATATTCCAATTTCTTGTTATGTTTTAGAAGGTGTATTGTTTCACTCAGTAAACTGGAATATTGGAATGTTAAGCTCAAGAAAGTGACTAAATTCTAAGGATGTTTTAGTTTTTGAGCAAATTGATTTTTTTCTTTTTAAAAAAAGGTGAGATCAGGCTGTGAATGAGGCAAAGCTTTACAGAGGTTCTTCAGGTCCAAAAGGAGTTCGAGGCATAATCATCACCCCCAATTCTGATTTCACTCGCACCTTTCCCAGACGTCCTTTGCTTTCTCTGCTAGGTGTGGAGGGTGCAGCGTTCCAGAGCAGACTCCCTCATGACCGGATGACTTCTCAAGAAGCAGCTTGTTTTCCAGATATCATCAGTGGACCACAGCAGACCCAGAAGGTCTTTCTATTTATCAGAAACCGCACAGTAAGTTTTTTCCATTACATTATAAAAAGTGCATGTTACTTTTATAGAGTCTGGAGAAACGAGGTTGCCATTGTTAAAAATTAGTTGTTGCTTTTCCCCCTTCGGGTATTTTTAAAAAATGTACAGGTAATTCTTGTTTTTACAAAATTGAGATCCTACTTGCTCTCATTCTTCAGATCCTTTTCATTCCTCATAGCCTCATATACACAACAAGAATCTTTACACTTTTTAAAACTATACTTTTAAAATAATCACTTTGTCTTTCTCAGGATAAGAGAAATCGTTATTCTGTTCAACTCCTTTGGTTCAACCTCCTCCTCTGGCTAAATATAATCAATTTTTAATGTTTACATAATATTTTGTCTGACAGTCGAGTTGTAATTTAGCTGTTGGACGTTTCACTGTTCATTTTTGCCAGGTTATAACTGAGCTCTGCACAGCTTTTACGCATCCTTGACTCTGTCTCTGTTTATTATTTCCTTATGGGAGAGTTCTAAAAGGAAAACTACCTTGTTAAAAAGTATGAACACTCCTTAAGTTTTGATTCACGTTGCCAGATTGCTTCCCCAAAAGACTGAACCAGGTGACTCCCCCATTGCCCTGTCCCTGTTTTGTTATGAAAATGATGATAATCTGTGCTACTATAATAGACCAAGACTATTTCATTTATTTTCCATTTTTTGGATTACTTAGGATTACTTAAACTGACTGCTTTTTCACATTTAATTGTTATTCGTATTTCTCCTATGAATTTTTCTTCTATGTCCTTTATTCATCAGAAATTCTTTAACCATAGAGTAGAGGAGGGCAAGGTACTAATCAGAACATATTCATTATACTCTAGGGTGATAAAAAGCAAATTTACATTGTAATTTTAACTATTTTGAATTTAGCTCTGAGATATCATTTTAGCACACCTGCTTTTTACCCACCACTTCTTTATTGTGACTGTTGGATTACAAAATCACTGCTAAATTTGGATTGTTTAGCTAGAGTGATTGGTAGATTATACTGGATTTTTGTAGTCTGGAATAAAGGTTCTCTTTTGTGAAGAAGAAACAGGTTGATTTTTTAAAAGTGAATAGAAAATTATTAATGTGTATTTCTGAGGTTAATTTGTGTTGTAATTGAATCCACATCTGGCCCTGGCCAATGTAGCTCAGTGGTTAGAACCTCGGACCAAAGGGTCGCGGGCTTGATTCCTGTTCAAGGGCACATACCTGGGTTTCAGGTTCTCCCTGCCCCTGGCGCATGCAGGAGGCAACCAGTTGATGTATCTCTCACATCGATGTTTCTCTCCCTCCCTCCCTTCCAGAATCCATACCTGTGTGTGGCATATCAACATTTGATCTAAGTGGATCTTTTTAGACAATATTGTCTCTTTTTTGTTTATTCTGAGGGGAGTGTTCACTTATGACCTGAGCTTTATTTTATAGAATAGAAGGAGGAAGAGGCTTATATGG